GAGCTGTAGATGGAGATGGAGATGGAGCCAAAGCCAAAGCCAATGCCAAAGACATTGAAAAGTCGTCGCCAAAGTTGGCGTCGCCTTCTGGCCAAAATTGTTGCCGTCACATGTTGCACTTGGCGCCTGTTCACAGCCTTTTAATTATATTTAATTGAAATTCGAAACCACAGGCCGCATTCGTCTCTAAAGCGAATTTCACTTAATGTGCCGTGAAACAGTTGAAATTACTTTTTTGTATCCCTTTTTCACTCATCATCTCTCTCACTCTCTCTCTCTCTCTCGCTCTCTCTTATCATAGCTGCTGTTGAATTCTCGTTGATTGCGATTGCTATAAGGTTATGGCATTCATTTAAGATGCCATTTAATTACAGGTAAGAAAATAATAAAATGAATTATTAAATTATTAATAAAATTAATATAGTATTTGTAAAATAATAAATTGTATATACATATATATATATATTTTTTTACATATATTAAATGATCAATTTCATATAAATAAATCCGCACAAGATAAATTGCAAACTAAAAATTTTGTATATTTTTTTAAAATTTAATTTTTTATATTATTTTGCATTTTTTTATTTGTTTTATTTACATGTTTATTTTTTATTTATTTATTTTTTATTAATTAATTTATTTTTATTTATTTTTTTGTTAAGCTAATATAGCTTTTAGATAGTTTGTTTACTGTTTATTTTGGTTTACTATTTACTATCAAATTACTATTTTTTTTTATATAGTATATATTATAAAACATTTGAATTCAGTTTTGATATTAGGTATAGAAAAAAAAGGATATTAATCATAACCGCATTTAATCTACTGTTAAGCCAGTTTAAGCTTAGCCTAGCATAGCTTTTAAATCATTTTTTTATTTACTTAAATATATATATATATATTTTTTTTTATTTCTACATATTAAAGCACCAGCCGCCACAAAAAAAAAAAAAAAAAAAAAAAAAAAACTCTTACAATGTAAAGTCAAAAATATTTATGTCATTTGAAGTGTGCGCCATGAAATTTCAGACTGTGGCACTTGGCCACATTCGGCTCACTTGACAGTTTTGTAGCGTGCACAAAACTAATTTGCACTTGAAACCACAAAAGCAAGAGTCAACCACAAAAGTCTAGCAGCAGCCCGATGCACCGCTAAGCTGGCTGCTGCTGGCTGCGCTGCCTTGCTGCCTGGCTGCCAGGCGGCTCAGTATCATGTGTCCTTGGCTGTCTGTTTGGTTTGTTGGCCGTGCAGCAGCCGAATGAAGTGTAAATGAGATTTTTATGCAACACCCGGCCACCGGCCACAAGATGCAGCCAAGTGCTGTCGACATTGCGACTATTTCTAGTTGTTGTTGTCTGATTTTATTGCTTAAGTTGCGAGTCATAAAGCTCATTACGGCCAGGAAATTGCATATAACATTACAGAGCTCACACACACACACACACACACGCACACACAATGTCGCATTGGGTAGCTAAGCAACCTACAAGCAGCAAGTGAATCAGAGCTTAATTAATGTGCATCCCGCACAACAGCTTGCGGCACGCAGCTTCGGCTTGCAACGCTGCAGAAGCCACAGCAGCAGCAGCAGGAGCAGCAGCAGCAGGAGCAGGAGCGACAGCGACAGCGGGCCAAAGGCTGGCAGGCGAAATAGAAAACGAAAACATGTCAGGCTTCAGAAACATAATTGTGTTAAATTTGCAGCAAATATGTTTTTGTTAGCTGCCATTGTTGTTGGCCAAAGAAAATATTGCCATTTGACGTTTGCAGTTTGCCGTTTGCCGTTTGCTGTTTTCGCATTTTCTCATTTTCCTGCTATTGCCGCAGCTAGTTTCCCACAGCATAACTCAACTTTTGTGGCTTGACGCATACGCAACGTGTGTGCATAAGATTAAGCATACGCACGGTTGGCTGCCCGCATCAACTAAGAACTTTACACAAATGTCATGCCCTGACATTCAATGTCGTTCCCTGTAAATGTGTGTAGGTGTAGATGTGTGTGTGTGTCAAATATATTCGAAAATAAATTGCCAAACGTACAGCTGGGAAGTCATTTGGAACTCTCAGTCCCAATTCAAAGATAAAGCACAGTTAAAATAATAATAATATGGCAAATATCTCAGCATATGCTAAGCAAGTTTGCACAACTAATTTATAAATGAGAGGCAATCAATCTACGTAACTGAGCTCAGACTGCTGTGAAATGCCATTGAAGCAAGATTCAAGCAAATTGAGACATGCATGATTCCAAGCAGTTTACTTTAAGTAGGAAATTGCACAGCGAATTAAATGTATTATTTGCAACTATATGGATATAAAATGGAATTCATGGACAAGTAAAAGTTATTGATATGTAAAACAATTGATGTTATATAAAATAGTCACCTTATGGATTTGTTTAAGCAGCAATATTTAATTATTGAAAATAAGTCTGT